TTTTCAATGATTCATTGATTTTAACATTAATTGTTTTATCGTAGGTTTTGTAAATACCATTCAATTACAAAATAGAACGCTTCGCAAACTGCAAAAGACAATATTAATAACATTTCTCTTACTGCAAAGGACAATAGGAGTACCAAAGACCGACAAGAGTATAAATATACGGCAAAAAATAGTGGTAATTAAGACTTCACCTGAATTATATCAAATGTTCGTATTTCTATCACAATGACACAACATCGTCCATTATTGTAATTATTGGCGCTACAAATCACTGATTTAGCCAAAGTTATGGTGCTTTCATCGATATTTGTAAGCTTATCCTATTAACTTAGATGCAACTATTTGTACGAAATACCAGGAGTTACGTCCCTTCAGCGCTTGAGAGCGCACTGCTAGTTTATCATAATGCGGACTTTTATCGTTTTACTGTACTCTGAGACACTATAACTAAAGTTATATAACTATCTATTGTACATTTAGTGGTTACATATCCATATTAACTTTCTCACATTTCTTAATATTTTGAATATACATTTCGTTTAAGTATAAAATATTTGTTAAATATCCCAAACAAAAACTAGCCGCCTTCATTGATTATTGGGAAACTGGCAATGCTAAAATAAAGTTCAACAACATCTATTGAAAAAAAACTGATACTGTTGAAAGAGTGTTGTATATCAACTTAATTAACAAATGTTACGATGTTCGTGTTGTATATGGAAAATGCAATAATAAAACTAATAATAAAATAATCATGGACGTATACTATACAAATGTACGAAAAAATCATCTGATTTGGTCAGTGACGGTTATCACATAAAGATATACCTGGTTTTGGTTTTAAACAAATAAATTGTGAGAAGATCTAGAATTTGGAAATGAATTTAAACAATACAATTAGTTGTATATATATATATATCTATATAGACAATAAGAAGATTACGAGAGGAAACTCTTTACCGAGGATTCGTATCGGGCGGTATACGTCTACCGAGAACTATATCTAAAAATAACCCACTAATGACGAGGTAATGAATAGAAATTAATTGTATGAAATAGGTAACGGTCATTTAAGGTATTTTTCTGATGCATTGTCTTAAAAAACATAAGTTGAAAACTTATGGAATAAATTGAATGGAAATTATATTTTTTTTGTAAAGCGACTAAATTCGTGTTAATAAGTTTTGCTGTATTTATAAACTACTTTTCTCTATTATTAATCTTTTTTAACATAAACTGTAGAAAAAATCTCAATCATTTCAAATTGACAGCGCAATTTTTTTCTGACGAGTCATTTCTGTTACCTTTGGACAGTTTTTTTAATCAAAACGCGTGTTTGAGCAAGTTACAAATGAAATGTCATCAAGAGAACAAATTTCTTAAGCCTCGTGTCTTTTCTAAATTTGAAAATTAACTTACGAGAGTTAGATAACGATGATAATCTACTGCCACTCGTTGTAGAACTTCTTTCTACCATTACCTTTTAACGTAAAAATATATAGTGTACAACATTGTTTCGCCCCAATTGACACTTTCGCGTAAGAATACATCATAGATTGTCTGCTTGGCTCATTAATATGCAATAAGAGACAAAATCGCTATTTTTGAATACTTATTTATACAGTAATCTTGTTTGGAAACATCCCGTAACATTAGTTCATTGAAACACGTTACAAAATTACACAAACTGTTAATCTTTTAAAAATAAATTCGTTGGAACTAGATTTTATTGCCGATAAGAGTAGTGCTTCTTCGCGGGAAAATGTGAATGCAGACACGATTAAGATGGCGTGTAATTTTTGGGCGGAGTTTCTAATGCTCTTTGCGGTGTTTCTAGGGGGTCTCGATATTGACATCCTTGGGGCTCAGCTGTACATTTAAGTTTAAAATCGTTTTGAAACTGAGATATTGTCGGAAATGTTGCAGGGTTCAGCAGTAGGCCTAGTTGAGACAGAGACGATAGGGTCAGGGGGAAATGTCAAACCTGTATCTTGATTCCGAAACGACCTTGCCCGTCTCCAAACTAATATCAAATGTTGGGAAACCAAAATTACTGCATTTACCATTTACTCTCCCCTTTCCCTCTCCACACAGTTTTGACCGCCGGCAAGAGTGACAGATCGTCACTGTCCGCCATGTTGATGATGGACAGCAGACGATGAAAACAATCGCACGTGGCGAAAGTAGTTCGGGGTCACAGATCATTGTTGGGTCAAGTGTCAATGCCTCGTCCAATAGATTTGGCTATCACGTGTGTGTTATGCGTATGAATAAACAATGGATATGGTGTTTAATGAATAGTCAGGGGTGAGATAACATACGCAGGTTATGGTAGAAACAATGTATCATATACAGTAATTTTGTGTATTATGATATGATATCATGATGAGAGTCATAATATGTCTGAACATCCATATGCTGTTTGGGTTTTGAAAACGATAGCCATGGACACAAAAACAAATGACACTTATTCTGGTAATGGGTTGAATTTGGTTCATTATGTACACGTCTTTGCAAAATATTCCATGACAACTCATCATAACGTATTTAAAAGGGCACAGTCTCTTATTAATTAACAGGTACGTCATCAAATCACCGGTGGAACTTGTGCAGAAGTTTAAAGCAGGTTTTTCAAGATGTTGGCCACACTGGATCTTGTACATACCTGAAAAATAACGACACCTGGTTAGGACCATCACAGGATTTCAGTTGAATCCCACTGGTAGAACTTGTAAATGTAAAAACAATACACACGACGGACGGCGGACGACAAATGCGAAAGGACGAAACACGATGGCGATAGGACATCCTGATTCAGGTGTCCTAAAATTTGTTTATTATTTCGCCACTTTAAGTCAGTTTCTAAATAATTTTCCCCACTGCAAAAAATAGAGCTAATAACAAAAGGTGATTTGAAATCGTCGGTATGTCCCAAAGTTGATACCATATATGATTCAGACATTTTAACATGTAAATTAGATTTCAGGAACTAGTTATTATAAAACCAATTACCAAAGACTAGAATGGACGGTTAAATTTAAATCTTTGGGTGTATTGGAACGTCGAGAACTGCATCTTTAATTTTTCAATTTCTATTAAAGATTTTGTCAACGGAGTTATTTTTTTTAAATGACTTACTGTGGGTCACCAATGACCAGGCATGTATATGATAGATGGCCTAGTTGGTGACTTACTGTAGGTAGCCTGTGACCAGGGGTGTATACTATTGACGGTCCTGCTGGTGACTTACTGTGGTCACCTTCGTTCGATGTCATTTTTTAACATCGTTAACTGGAGTAGATGTGAACGGAATTTGACGAAAATTTGTAGCCTTATGTTAATAACATATCGTATGAATTGTGTACAAGAAGTCGTCAATTTTCGGATAGACCCGTGACACAGAGTTTCAAAAAAATACAGGTTGACGGAAATTATTGGAAAGTTTTACGGTCGTCATAGTGATCTCATTAAAAGGTATTCTATCTCTATGTGCGATATGAAGCTGAACGTGTTTGATGCCTGTTAGTTTGGTGTTGGTTCTGTTAATGTATACATTGTTCTTATTTGAGAGCATGACAAAAATTTACACAGTGGGTGTCGTCATGAAGCAGAAGATCTTTCCCTTGTTCGTACTTTTGTATTTTGTTATTTTATCTATTTATCTGTTTTTTGACAATGGGATCGATTCCACCGTTATTTGTCAAGTCACCACTCTTGCAGATTTATGACCTTGGACCTTGTAGACACGACAACTTGAGTAGATGTGAATGTATTTCGATGAAACTTGGTATGTAACCTTGTATTATTGTGATCTTGGGACGAGTTCACGAATTTTACCAATTCGATGGTTATTTAATGAGATATTGCCTCTTTACAGTTTTATTTTCATTGGCCCTGTTGAACACAATAACTCCATTCAATATTAATTAACTTTGATGAAACTTGATATGTAGCTATGTATTATTAAGATCTCAGGACGAGTTCGAGGATTACATCAATTTTATTATATTTTAGAGAAGTATGGCCTCTTGCAGTTTTGTTCCCTTGAATCTAGTAAAACAAACTGACTTTAGTGAAACTTTGTTTACAGCCTTACATGAATAAGAATTCACAGGAGTTTGGAAATGGTGTATATAGTATGTAAGAAGGGTGGAAAAGCTCCACTTGTTTCCTGATCAAAGAGTTGTATTTCTGTTGGGTGCACAAAATCATGCATAGTATCATTAGAAGGATGGATTCTCAATCTTTCAGTTCTTCAAATTTTTACATGTCTATTCTCTTTACCTAGACATCAACTCCATATTCTCCACAAACAAATACCATTTTCTCATTTCAAGAATCTGTGCAGTTTTCTGGACACTTTGGATGTTACTCTCAACACCAAAGGAATAAAGAAATGAAATAGAAATGCATTAGTGTGTTTATATATTTCTCACCCTGTGATCTTTCAGAGTTTTCACGTCATTGTGTACCCCTCTGGTGTGTTGATTGCCTGTATGAAGTATTGGATTCTACCTGACCTGGGTATTGAGTGGAAGCTTTTCTAAATTCCTGTCAATTTCACCACTTCTGTGGGACGGGGATGTGCATACCATCAAACACATTTAGCCCATCTCTAGGAATATACTAACAATTTTGGGGTAAAACAACTGAAGACTTTCTATGAAGACTTGTATTTTTTACTCTATCTTGTTTTTGAGAAAAGATTTCAGAAGTTTGAGTTTGAGACATTTTCCCCCGTTTTGGCCCTACCTTGGAGGACCCTTGCTAGTTGATACCTCATACTCCATAATTTTGGTTCACCTTTGGCTATGATAATTTTCATTTTTTTTAAAAAGTTGAAAATGCTAGTTGTATTTGGGTGCATTACTAATGATGAGGGACAAAAGGCAACTACAAAAGTGCCTCTGAGACTTTGTCTAAGGTGACCAAAAGTAAATGAGAAACTCCATCTTAATTAGGTTTGATGTAAAAAAACAAACACAAACAAGTCATAAATAATCTTTATGTACACAAGTTTTAGATTTAAAAACCTAATTTTGCAAATGTTCAGTGAATTCACATATAGATGAAAACGTACAAGACACATTTCAACAAGTTTGTCCACAGCCTGATTTCAAACTTGGGTGATATTTGCAGCACTCTTGGAGACTATAATGTGGGCATATGAATGAAAAATTCCAAAGTCTCCAGGGGCGACCTACCATAGTCATGAATGTAAGAAAGGGCTCACTCTTTAAAGGTGAGTCAATGCCATTAATTCAAACAAGTTTTCAGTCAGTCAGAAGTCAAGACAGATCAGAAGTTACAGTCGAATGATTAGATCGTTGTGTCTGGTGGTTAACATCTAGTCAATCTAACAAAAGTTTTCTGTAAACAAACATTTTTTATAAGAGAGTGATGTATACCACTAAGTATCCTCCTGTAACCTCACAGCATCAGGATCTACATCACACACACTTGGCAAGACATTTCTACCTGAAGTATTTCTTGGATGGAAATTTTTCTCATCAGAATTTATATAATGTCTGCATTTATGAAGATGACACTATCAATGTTGGACACTAATCAAATACTCCTCGATATCCAATCTGATAATAGATCTGTTCTGCCACCTGGCTTTTTAAAATAAAACGTCAAAAAAAAACCCTCTAAAGTTTAAAGTCAACCCTCTATATTCTTAAGCCTGATTATCATTAACCTTATTCAATTACACTTACTTTCAGAAATTTTAGACTTTAATACTTTGAGGTGGATTCAATGGACCGTGACTACTGTAGATGACCACATCTGTGACAGGGGGCCTTAAAACAGATGCTTTAACATAGACACCTAACCATTAGGAATCTTCACATCATGTAATCTCCCATTACAGGAAAAATGAAACCACAATTATACCCAAGTCAAATTTGGTGGTTTACCTTTGCAAATGAAAATCACTTCAATATGTAATGTTGTAATTTTATCGTGTGGAAGTGGATGAGTTCAACTAAACTAAGATGGAAAGTCAAGTCTGTTGACAAGTTTCTATATAAACCAGATGGAAAGTCGAGTCTGTTGACAAGTTTCTATATAAACCAGATGGAAAGTCGAGTCTGTTGACAAGTTTCTATATAAACCAGATGGAAAGTCGAGTCTGTTGACAAGTTTCTATATAAACCAGATGGAAAGTCGAGTCTGTTGACAAGTTTCTATATAAACCAGATGGAAAGTCGAGTCTGCTGACAAGTTTCTATATAAACCAGATGGAAAGTCGAGTCTGCTGACAAGTTTCTATATAAACCAGATGGAAAGTCGAGTCTGCTGACAAGTTTCTATATAAACCAGATGGAAAGTCGAGTCTGTTGACAAGTTTCTATATAAACCAGATGGAAAGTCGAGTCTGTTGACAAGTTTCTATATAAACCAGATGGAAAGTCGAGTCTGTTGACAAGTTTCTATATAAACTATATGAAAGGTCTATCAAGGACAAGTTCTTAAAATACAAAATTGTAAGCTGCTGCATTATTTTACCACAACTGCTGTCAAAAGTCTGTCTCTTCCAGTTAACAAATCTATTGTAAAGTATTTATCACAGTTAGTTACATCACATCTCTAATGTGCCATTATGAGAGATCCTTAATCCACTTGTCAGAAACACTTGTGTGCCTGATTACAGAACCAGTGCGTCCGTGCCTGCATCTCCTCCATACTGGGCTGTGTCATGATCATAGTCCTGATCCTGCAACAAAATGTACTTCATCATTTCCCTGTACAGATAATATGTTTGGATATTGTAATCAAAAATAATTAAAAATTGTCAATTGAATATATTTCAATTTCAAACTCTAATAATACATTGTACCATGATTTTGTCATTCATTAAATAATTTATCAAGCTGTAAACAAAAATCTTAAAATCCAATTTTTGAGAAAGGAATCTTTTTTTTTTTGCAGGGTGCCAAAGACATTGCTTGTGGACAGGGTTCAGATTATGAACAAGAGATCCCAATGGGATCTTAGCAACCACAATGCTCGATTTTTATTTGTTCTTTAAAAGCTATAGTACTTCTCCTGAATTAAAACAAATTATAACATTCAAAATGTTATTTTCACACATAATATATAGCATTTATTTCATCTCAGGTGATCTAAAAACTAAAAATATGTACCTGGTTAAGCTTCTTGAATTCTACAACTTGTGCAAAGACATACTCCAGGATGTGTTTGGCATCACGTGCATCAGCAGGTAGACGTGTGGTCACGCCCAGTATGTCCCCACATTCCCGCACGTAATATTCCAGGTCATCGTCTGTGCCTGAGAAATACAAAACACATGACATGTTGTTTATGAAAATGGTGTACAAAGTGACTTCAAGCTAAATATCTTTGACATTCTCTGTTGATAATGTGAATAGAGCCCACAAATGTAAAAAATTATCTGTCTGATGTGCAACAGAGTTATGACGATTTTAATAGTTATCTGGACAGTAGACTATTTGTGTATATTGAACTCTACAAATGTGTCATCAGATTAAAGTCTGTATCGACACAGCATGATAGACAAAGATGATCAGAAGTCACTTGACTTATCTAACGGAATCTGCAGTATCTATGGCAACAAATATGAAAAAGAATTCTGGTCTTACATTTGTTAGTTTGCTGAGCCAGTCGGACTTTTTCTGAAGAAAACTGTTCATCCAAATCAAAAAGATCCAAAGAGGGAGGTGGACATTCTCGGAAAGTAGGAGGAAACACCTGAAAATCAACAAGGAATTGTAAAATCACAACATAAAGTTTCTGGCATTTCTGGTGAAAACCCATTCATATATGTAATTATCATTACGTAAACACAAGAGGATGTGGAAGTACTTACCGCAGGGTTAAGTGGAGGCAATGGAGTTTCAAATGAAGGGGTGATTAATGTCAATGGCTCATGCTTTGTGTGTAATTCTGTAAAAGCTCTGTGGAAAAGAATGTCAAAACATTTTAAAGAAAACGTTTATTGTAGAAGTTGATTTGACCAGATAACATACATGTATAAATAACCTGTTTTAGTACGTCTTTTGATGTCTGTTATAACAATGAAGTAACTACATCAACATTTAATATGTTCGTTATTTATAAACATCAGCTTTTTCGTTATTTAAGGACAACAAAATTAAAGCCAGCTAATAAATACAACTCACACAGCATGCTGCTCAGTGAAAATACACACAGATGCTATTTAAATGGCCTTAAATAATGTGTACTTACTTAATGGCTTTTGGAACCAGATTTGTGTCTAGTTTAAATGTCTGAAATAATCCCACCCCCTGAGTTTGACTAACAAGTAATTACAAAAAATACAGAAAGTGTGTGAATGACTATATAGTGAGTAATACAAAATATAAAGTTTTTGTGTGGAATGTGCACTTACTTAATGGCTTTTGGAACCAGACTTGTGTCTAGTTTAAAAAGGGAATTGTCAAACAAGGATGTAATATCTCTGGGAACATCATCACTCTCCTGTAAACATGTCTTCAAGTCTCCTGCCAACCTGGCCACATCTGGTAACATGTTGTAGTCAGATATCTGGTGAATAAACACGATCAGCATTAGAAAGTCCTTGTTAAACAGTGTATCAGTAAATTGTGCTCTATGAACCATTCATTACTGATCATCATACTGGATTTTTCCTTCCTATTTGTGTGATTTACAACATTTTACTTCACACTGTGTAAAACTTTTACTGAGGACCATATGGTGGATTAACCTCGGATTACAGAAATATTATCAAGTTTATAATCAGTATAATATAATAAGTGCATAATCTTACATGACTATCTAATGAAGAAATGAGCAGAGATCAGACAAAATTAAATCAGTAATGAGGTTTGTAAAACATGGAGCACAGTCAAAGTCGGGAGTAACACAATATAAAGGTAGGAAGGACATGAGAAAATTGAAGAATGTAGAATTTTTTTCCTTGTGTTAGATGGAGCAATGATGTAGGACAGATAAAGAACACAGCGATACTTCTTGGGTTAGATAGAGCGATGATGTAGGACAGATAAAGAACACAGCAATACTTCTTGGGTTAGATAGAGTGATGATGTAGGACAGATAAAGAACACAGCGATACTTCTTGGGTTAAATAGAGCCATGATGTAGGACAGATAAAGAACACAGCGATACTTCTTGGGTTAGATAGAGCAATGATGTAGGACAGATAAGGAACACAGCGATATTGCTTGGGTTAGATAGAGCCATGATGTAGGACAGATAAAGGACACCAGAGTTAGATGAAGCAAACATAAGGTGATCACATTTGAACACTTACTTCTGGGTCCTCTGCATCTATTGGGTTAAGTCTTATGTCATCTGTCGTCAGAAATCGAATCAAGACATCCTAAAAGAACAAAAAAACTTAAAGTATTTTAAGTCTAAACCAGAAAACATGTATTAAGTGGCATTATACTGTGAGAGCAAGTTCCTCCTAAAAGGTCAAAGAAAATGTCATAAGAGAAAAAAATTATTTGATTCTTTTAGCTTTCCACACGGAATTGATCGTTAAACACATATGTAGTATATGTAGTATAGTATATGCAACACCAGTCCAGAAACTTTCAGTACCAATCACTTAATGTGAAAACCGCATCTAAATTAGTATGTCAAGTCAGAAGGTAAATCATATTTAGATTTTTTATGTTAGAAGTCATCCATAATCATTGGCAAAAGGTCAACAATTTTGAAACTAAGTTTTAAACCTGAAAACCTTAACACAATTAAAGAATTCAATAAACACTTCTACTGGCTAAATAAAATTATATCCCTCCACTGGGCCCCACTCACAGACTTCTTCTACTGGCTAAATAAAATTATATCCCTCCACTGGGCCCCACTCACGGACTTCTTCTACTGGCTAAATAAAATTATATCCCTCTAATGGGCCCCACTCACAGACTTCTTCTACTGGCTAAATAAAATTATATCCCTCTACTGGGCCCCACTCAACGACTTCTTCCACAGGCAATGTAAATTAAATCCCTCTATTGGGCCCCACTCACTGACTTCTACAGGCTATATCAAGTTAAATCCCTCAACTGGGCCCCACTCACTGACTTCTCCTACAGGCTTTATAAAATTGATTATATTTTTCATACATTCAACAATTTTCAAATGAACTTACCAGGATTTTTGTGTTCTCTTCTTTATCTAAGTATCCATCACTAAATATATGCGTGGAACCAACAACTGCGAGCTTGCCATTTCCCTAAATAAAAACAAAAATATATGAATAACATTACACTAAATTTCAGAACCAAACTATAAATATTTATATTGATATTTGTACAATAATTTCCTTAACACAGACAATGTTAAAATATTGTAATATGAATTTTTTGTGTCTCACTATTGATGTTAAACAAAGTCTGTGTTAATACTGTAATGTTGATTCTCTGTGTCTCACTGTTGATGTTAAACAAAGTCTGTGTTAATATTGTAATGTTGATTCTCTGTGTCTCACTACTGATGTTAAACAAAGTCTGTGTTAATACTGTAATATTCTCTGTGTCTCACTATGTGTTAAACAAAGTCTGTGTTAATATTGTAATGTTGATTCTCTGTGTCTCACTGTTGATGTTTAACAAAGTCTGTGTTAATATTGTAATGTTGATTCTCTGTGTCTCACTACTGATGTTAAACAAAGTCTGTGTTAATATTGTAATGTTGATTCTCTGTGTCTCACTGTTGATGTTTAACAAAGTCTGTGTTAATATTGTAATGTTGATTCTCTGTGTCTCACTGTTGATGTTTAACAAAGTCTGTGTTAATATGGAAGTGTTGATTCTCTGTGTCTCACTGTTGATGTTTAACAAAGTCTGTGTTAATTCTCTGTGTTTCACAATTGTGTTAATGGTGTCTACTTAAAATGTGTTAATATTGAAACAATGTTTAACAAAGTCTGTGTTAATATGGAAGTGTTGATTCTCTGTGTTTCACAATTAATGGGCTACTAAAAATGAAGAAACAATGAGGGTTCAAAGTTTAACCTTGGATATTACAGGTTACACACAAGGCTGTTAAGAGAGAAGACATATTTAAAATATTGGTGAAGAACTTGCCTTGGAATGATACAGGCTATACACAAGGCTGTTAAGACAGAAGACAAACTTAGGGTACATGGTAGGACTTACCTTGGAATGATACAGGCTACACACAGGCCTGTTGAGAGGAAAGGACACACTGCCTGTAGACAGGACAGCAACAGATGGCTTCATAACATTTAACGTGGCTCCGTAGGGGTACAGAAATGACAGTGCCCTGTAACATAGACAATTTAACTAAGACATCAGCATGAGATATATCTTAGCCAAGAAAAGATTATCTAAAATTCTGAAACTTTTGGTCCAGATATGGCCTAATATCCTTTATTTCTTTCTCCTAAGGATCTTCTGACCAAAGTTTAAGATATGTTCATCTTAACTGAATTAGGGTTTTAAAACTTCTCATTTTGGGAATTTATAACTTGCGATACATTTCCCATTGGGCCCTGCCCCTCTGATCAATGGGGACCCAGTTCTACCATTTATACAAACATGAGTTCCCTGCACCCAAGAATGCTACTGACCAAACTTGGACAAAAGTAGACTTATCACAATATTGAAGATTAACTTGGGTAAGATGAAATGCAGAACAGAAAATATTTTATTTACTTACTGTGCATTGTTTTCATCATCTTCTGTCACAGAAAATGTTTTCCCTGCAGCATGACTGACAGCTCTAGATAAAAGATAAAATATTGCCAGTAATTAATATTCACTATTCAATATTTCATTTTCTACTTTTTCTTCAAGAGGCCAAAATGTAAATTTATTGGGCTTTATCCCAGGGAATTATTATCCAAGTAATATGTTTCTTGGTTCTGATGCTTAGTCTGCCCTGTAATGAGAAGTTTTTAATCTGTAACACTGACTACTCATCTTGTTGTCCACAAATTGCTGATGCCTTGAAACACCTGCTTTAGTAGAATAGGATTGCTTTGTATATACACATTAAGTAAATGATTCTGAGATCTAAAAACTCACAACTGTTTGATTTTTAAAACATTAGGTTTTTAAATGTTGGACTTTTCCCCTTGGTTTTTCTTCTTTACTTTGTTTTCGTTCTTTGTTATATGAATTTGAAAATACCTCTAAGAAAAAGAGATAAAAAATTTTAACTGTCATATCCAAGATGGTTGCCAGTTGGCCATTTTATTTCCAAAATCAACAGAGCACAACTAAAGACCAAGGTGAACTTATATATGAAATCTGAATTCACATTTGTAATCTTGATTGATTATAGTCAATTTTAGCCACAAAGGACATTAACTTGGCATTATTTGTTCTACATTGAAGATTGAGATGTTGTTTTGACATTTGGCCATGGAAGGGTCTTGAAAATTTTTTCCTTGCATTTTGGAATCCAAAATGGCAATTGTTATAAATCCATGGTGGCAGACTGCTATGTTAGTAGATCATTTGAGACTCTGGTTACTTTACAAATTCCCCCCCCCCCCCTCCCCCCACAATTCATCAGATTTACTTTTACACTTAAAAACAATAAAATGACTAATTTATAACCACAATCACATTTAGACAGAAATAATCAAGCAAATCATCAATCTATCTAGTATCAATTTTGGTATTAGTGACTTTGAAAATTGAAACTAAAAGTACTGTCCAGTAAAAATATGAAGTCTGTAATAATTATCATCAATTTATTAACCTACCTGTTTAGTACACCATTGGCTATTAAGGCTTCCTTCGGATGGAAGTATTTGTAATATGATGTTCTTACAACAGAATCTGAAAAAAAAAACCAGAAAATTGTTAAATTTATGTTCTCATCAATTACCACTTCCAACATTATTGTCTGGTTCTTCACAGTTAGGAGACCTACAAAAGGATTCAAAGTCAATCTCATAATCTCCATGGTGTTTCCTAGCTTCATGAAAGGTCAATGCTCTCACCCATGTTGTATAGAGCCCAAATATGGATGTAATCTATGTTTTTTTTTAAACAAAAACTTACTTTCAACCTCTATATGAACATTTTCTCCTTCACTTTATTTTGGAGTTCATGAAGATTTTTTAGCAGTTTCAACAGAAGTTCAATGCAGTCTAACTAAAAATGTTTAACGGTAAATGGTTCATCACATCCTATACATCGAGGATTATCCATTCTTAATATGAAGTAGCGTTTTCACTAATGGATTATAAATCTAAAGTGAGTATTATGGATACAAATATTGATATTAAATCATTCTAATATTGATACCTGGTCAGTTACTCAGTGTTCACAGAAAACTCCACATGTACTTCAGTTTTCCTAGATATGCTACTGTAGTACTGCTAGTGGAAAATTACTATTATGTTGTCATATAATATCACAGTCTCTGTGTGTGAAAAATTCTTTCTTTCTATATCCCCAAAATGGAAATAGATTTTCATCCCTAAAAATATGTACTGTAGACCTTTTTTGTCTCTCCTTCCCGATTTCCCCTTTCTATATTTGAATTACAACATATTGTACCCAATGACAAATAAGTGGTAATATTTTTCTAACCTAATGAAAGTGTTTTTTTCCTGGTACTAAATGTTCATAAAGTGAGTGATAATGCAAAACTAAATTTAGTCCAATATGAACACAAATGATGATAATCAAACTCACCTGTATTTATCATAACTCCAAACTCTTCTAAAAGGAAATTGATGTTTGTGTCAAACCTTGACTCCCCTCCTTCCCCCAACATGACCAGCAGACTGCCACCATTCTGCATATATCGCTTCATGACATCAAACTGAAATGATAAAGCAACAACATGGTAATGTTTCCAAATAGAAGTCCGTGAAGCAGAAAATGATCATATACCATAGAATATAACTGTAAAAACATTTTTTATGATTTAAGACAAACCACAAAAATAAAATACCACAAGGAACACTTTAGACAATATAATATTATGTAGTTATTTGTTGTTGTTTAATATCAATTGAGTTTCACCTTTGAAATGATGTCTGAGGTTTAAAGAATGAATGAAACCATCTATATCTGATACAGTGATGTAGGACTTCTACTCTTTAAATGACTTACATCTGATACAGATGAGATAAAATGAAATCATGCACAAGTTGGGACTAGTGGAAATCTACAAAATATTATGAAATTTGCGAATGATCCTGCCAGCCATCTTTTCTTTTGGAATGAAAATGGAACAGTAAACAACTAGGGATCAATGAGTTCCTACAAATGAAATTTGAGAATGATCTATGGAGTTTTTTCTACAGAAATGGTGATAACAAACTGTTACTGTCAAAATCGAAGATGGTTTTCATTAATTAATTCAGAATGGAATGCGACCAACATGGGCCCCACTTTATGTCCCAAAATCCCCATTTAACAGTACAAGAATAAAATTTACCATTACTGTTATTTAATTCTACGATCACTTTTCTTATGCATTAGGTACCAGGAATCTACAGTTACTAAGATTATACCTCTCCTCCAGTGAATTTTTCCCGGCTGCCACACAGCACAAACATGCTTGCCCCAGCTAATCTGTCCAGTGTCACTTCTTCTTTGTTGCTGCAAAAAGCATATACTGACATGTAAGTCCTGGGAACATAAAAACATCAAGACCAAAGGGCCAGTATATCGTTTACCTGCTTCGGTTTGGCTAAAACTAACTCCAACCCACTGTCACCAGGATAGTCAGATCCAAACACACTATTTATAAAAAAGTAAACCCCTTCACCCAAGGAGGCTTCAGACCAAATTTGGACAGCAATATACTGTCATTCCATAGAAGAATTAAAAAGAACTTACACATATATATCTATAATTATATATGATATTATAGGTTTTATAGGAATAGCACACAGACCTATGAACACATCTACTATACCTTACAATCTTCCATGTTGATCGTAATCGTCTGTTGAGTGTCTTTAGACCATTACTTGGTGTGAACACTTCATTTTTACAGGCATTGAATACAATAGTGTTTCTTTGAGCTTTTTCATCCATATTGTTCTGAAAAGTTGGAAACAATGGAATCATATAAAATGTATGTACCAGGTATATACAGTAAAATGTCATGAATTTACATGAACTTCTGACTCATGATCAACTGTATAGTCCAGGGTTTTCCATAATTTTGTTAGTAGTAGGCTGTGTAGTGAAAGTAGGAGGCTGGCAAAGCCAGCCGACCCGAGCCGCAACGCGGTAACCGGTCAAATTGGCCGGCGACCGACTCTTATGGAAAACCCTGGTAGTCTATCTATATATGTAAAAATGTCAAAAGTCTGTTGTTAATGATCCAACTGCAGTTTTGTCTAGAATAGTACTGCAAATATAAGAAAGTTTTCCTTTTTAATCTTTTGAAGAATTGTGACGACTTCGTAGCTTCAGAAATCGGCATTTTTTAAGAAGGTTCGAACTTCACAAAAAACGCCTGAAAAGAAAGATGATTAACAGTTTCAACAATGGTTGTTTACAATAACCAAAATATGGCAAATATCAAACAAATGAAGTATATTGACTCTCAAATTTTTGTTTTATGAAGAGCGCACGCAGACACAGTCGTAAAACCCGTCGTAAAATACTCTCGTAAAATGGAGACAAATCTCAACTTTCCGAGAGTGTTAATTCCCATCTACCGGGTCTCATTGTATGATCAGATCGTTTGAGATATGTTTTAACATCAGCATCTACCTCGATATCTACAAGATATCTGTACAATAAAAAGAAAGAAAATAAAATCACTTCTCTTCGCGCACTGAACGAATAACATTAACATGACAACACGATTAAGCAGATATTCTGGAATATTTACCGAGGCAATCCGCATGTAAGAAAAGTTCGCAAATGAGGAATGAAAAGTTGTGAAACTCTGATGTATACAATAACATCTAACTCTCAACACAAATTGTAAGTTCAATATTTCTTCAGTAAGACTCTCATTTTACCTCAGCAGTCGGCGCCATATCAAAACTATGTGCGCAAAGCACTATGGGAACTGTGATGTTCCGGTAAATGTTATCGGCACTCTGATTGGAGGATCAAGGTAATACTAATTGACGGCACTCGTCTCAAATAATTAAATAGAAGCAACTCGTAGTTTTGTAACGGGAATGAATGTTTGAAAGTTGTGTCCCTTTATGAAAATGAATTAATCACGATTTTTCCAAGGACTCATTTAAAATGTTATCAATTTTGTTGATTTATAATTGTATCTTATATGTCCAAGATGTAAGTTGAGAGTATATATGTGGTTGGATGTGTGAGACTAAATATTTTACAATGGTTATTTACGTTTTCCTCATCTCTCCCACTCTTTCTCTATTACTCCAATATTCTTTAACATGAAGTAATGCAGTAAGTTTAAATATCATATTTAATGACATTTAATGACAAATTCATGGACGCATGCTTTAAGCCTTTATATCCATATCTGAAATACAGTGATAAATATACATATTGTATCAATGGCTTTTAAAAGTTAGCGCATATCATAGTTATCAATAATCATAAATTATATCTTGAAAGTGTTCATCCAAGAGTTGTTCAAAGTCTCTGAATTTGCATTATAACAATATGAACGGGAATATTATTCCAAGTGTCTACAACTCCAAAGGTAAAATAGTTTCTCTTAAGTTCCATGTTACAATGACATTTAAAAATTTTGAAATTGTGCCCGCGAGTTCTCTCATTATTATCAAAAGTGAATAACTTTGAGGTGACTCTTCCATCAAATATATTGTGAGCTATTTTGAATACACTAATTAAATCTCCTCTCATCCTGCGATACTTTAATGTAGGAAGTTTCAATCTCCTGAGTCTTTTGTTATATGGAAGGTTCTTCATCCCTGGAAGGAGCTTGTTATTGTTTGTATGCATTGTAAACTTTCTTTTGGAAAGTCTTCAATACAACATAGAATTAAGACTTAAATTCCACTAGTTTATATTTGATACATAAAATATGTTCCATTAAATGATAATAATGATGGTTCTTCAACTGCTGAAAACCTTACAGTTATGGAACACTTCATCACAAAAATTCCTGGCCAGCTGATAGAACTGTATAAGAGAACTAGTCAAATTTATGATAATGAATGTTTTAATGCTATTACATTATAGAGAGATGCCTCGGACCACCATAGTCACAGAGGTCATTCAAAAAAATATTTCCTAAACGATCCACAACTATGCTAAGAAAAAACCAGTTTTCAAGCAGAACAGTAAAAATTTGGAATGAACTACCAGAAAACGTTGTATCTGCTTGGAATGTTAATTCATTTAAAAACAGACTAGACGATCACTGAAAAAACCCAAGAACTTTTCTTTATTATAAAGCATCAATCCAGAATTAGATATCAAGTCCAGTACCGGATATATGTATTTTATTGTGTATTCATACTGTATTGTAATGAGCCTGGTATAGAGGACTATGACAAGTCCTGAACCAGAAATAAACTTATCTTACTTATGTTATGTTATGTTATGTTATGTTATTTTATCTTATCTTATCAGTTCCAGAAATATAGCGGATCTGAGAAGTAAAGGAACTCAATTTCCAGTACTCAAAGCCAGACATCCTCCACAAAAGGTCAATACAGTGTATATAAGACACCAAAGTTCAGGTAAAAAATATCAACATTAATCAATATTGTAAACTTTTAATTTGCTCATCTTATAACAATGTAAATTGATGTCAGACAAAGGTATAGGTAACCAAAGGTCAGAGGTGAATTAATCAATTTCAATCAATATAGTATACTTCACATTTTTTTGTTTGTATTAAGACTATCACATACATTATCCCTGCCTTCACATTTCTTGTTTGTATTTACACTATTACATACATTATCCCTGCCTTCACATTTTGTGTTTGTATTTACACTATTACATACATTATCCCTGCCTTCACATTTTGTGTTTGTATTTACACTATCACATACATTATCCCTGCCTTCACATTTCTTGTTTGTATTTACACTATCACATACATTATCCCTGCCTTCACATTTCTTGTTTGTATTTACACTATTACATACATTATCCCTGCCTTCACATTTTGTGTTTGTATTTACACTATTACATACATTATCCCTGCCTTCACATTTCTTGTTTGTATTTACACTATTACATACATTATCCCTGCCTTCACATTTTGTGTTTGTATTTACACTATTACATACATTATCCCTGCCTTCACATTTTTTTGTTTGTATTAAGACTATCACATACATTATTCCTGCCTTCACATTTCTTGTTTGTATTTACACTATTACAAACATAATCCCTGCCTTCACATTTCTTGTTTGTATTTACACTATTACAAACATTATCCCTGCCTTCACATTTCTTGTTTGTATTTACACTATTACATGCATTATCCCTGCCTTCACATTTCTCATTTGTATTTACACTATTACATGCATTATCCCTGCCTTCACATTTCTCGTTTGTATTTACACTATTACAAACATTATCCCTGCCTTCACATTTCTTGTTTGTATTTAGACTATTACATACATTATCCCTGCCTTCACATTTTGTGTTTGTATTTACACTATTACATACATTATCCCTGCCTTCACATTTTTTTGTTTGTATTAAGACTATCACATACATTATCCCTGCCTTCACATTTCTTGTTTGTATTTACACTATTACAAACATTATCCCTGCCTTCACATTTCTTGTTTGTATTTAGACTATCACATACATTATCCCTGCCTTCACATTTCTTGTTTGTATTTACACTATTACAAACATTATCCCTGCCTTCACATTTCTTGTTTGTATTAAGACTATCACATACATTATCCCTGCCTTCACATTTCTTGTTTGTATTTACACTATTACATACATTATCCCTGCCTTCACATTTCTTGTTTGTATTTACACTATCACATACATTATCCCTGCCTTCACATTTCTTGTTTGTATTTACACTATCACATACATTATCCCTGCCTTCACATTTCTTGTTTGTATTTACACTATTACATACATTATCCCTGCCTTCACATTTCTTGTTTGTATTTACACTATTACATACATTATCCCTGCCTTCACATTTTGTGTTTGTATTTACACTATTACATACATTATCCCTGCCTTCACATTTCTCATTTGTATTTACACTATTACATGCATTATCCCTGCCTTCACATTTCTCGTTTGTATTTACACTATTACATACATTATTCCTGCCTTCACATTTCTCATTTGTATTTACACTATTACATGCATTATCCCTGCCTTCACATTTCTCGTTTGTATTTACACTATTACATACATTATCCCTGCCTTCACATTTCTTGTTTGTATTTACACTATTACATACATTATCCCTGCCTTCACATTTTGTGTTTGTATTTACACTATTACATTGTTGACAGGTTGGTCCCTGCCTACATTATCCCTGCCTTCATAGAAGTAGCTATTTCTTGTTTGTATTTACACTATTACATACATTATCCCTGCCTTCACATTTCTTGTTTGTATTTACACTATTACATACATTATCCCTGCCTTCACATTTTTTTGTTTGTATTAAGACTATCACATACATTATCCCTGCCTTCACATTTCTTGTTTGTATTTAGACTATTACAAACATTATCCCTGCCTTCACATTTCTTGTTTGTATTAACTCTGTCACATACATTATTGTTCACATTTCTTGTTTTATTTACTATTTATTACAAACATTATCCCTGCCTTCACATTTCTTGTTTATTGTATCACATACATTACCCCTGCCTTCACATTTCTTTTTGTATTTACACTATTACAAACATTATCCCTGTTCACATTTCTTGTTTGTATATAGAAGTAGATATTGTTGACATACATTATCCCTGCCTTTACATTTTGACTTGTTTGTCTTCTCTATAGAAGTAGTTATTTATTGTTGACAGGATGGTACACATTATAGAAGTAGTTATTTATTGTTGACTGGTGACCTTACCTTCTCTATAGACATTTCTTGTTTGTATTGTATACATTATCCCTGCCTTCACATTTCTTGTTTAGAAGTAGAATTTATTGTTGACATTGATTCCTTCACATTTCTTGTTTGTACCCTATAGAACACATTTTCTCTGTTTGTATTTATTGTTGACAGGATGGTGACCTATGTCTTCTCTATAGAAGTAGATATTTATTGTTGACAGGATTTCTTCTCTATATTTAGTTATTTATTGTTGACAGGATTGACCCTATGCCTTCTCTACTATTTATTGTTGACAGGATGGTGACTCTATGTCTTCTCTATAGAAGTAGTTATTTATTGTTGACAGGATGGTGACCCTATGTCTTCTCTATAGAAGTAGCTATTTATTGTTGACAGGATGGTGACCCTATGTTTTCTCTATAGAAGTAGCTATTTATTGTTGACAGGATGGTGACTCTATGTCTTCTCTGTAGAAGTAGTTATTTATTGTTGACAGGATGGTGACCCTATGTCTTCTCTATAGAAGTAGTTATTTATTGTTGACAGGATGGTGAGCCTATGTCTTCTCTATAGAAGTAGTTATTTATTGTTGACAGGATTGTTGACTTCTCAAGGATGGTTGACAGGAGCCTATGTCTTCTCTATAGAAGTAGTTATTTATTGTTGACAGGATGGTGACTCTATGTCTTCTCTATAGAAGTAGTTATTTATTGTTGACAGGATGGTGACCCTATGTCTTCTCTGTAGAAGTAGATATTTATTGTTGACAGGATGGTGACTCTGTCTTCTCTATAGAAGTAGTTATTTATTGTTGACAGGATGGTGACTCTGTCTTCTCTATAGAAGTAGATATTTATTGTTGACAGGATGGTGACACATTGTCATCTCTCTAGTAGTATAGATTTATTGTTGACAGGATGGTGACTCTGTCTTCTCTATAGAAGTAGTTATTTATTGTTGACAGGATGGTCACCCTATGTCTTCTCTATAGAAGTAGCTATTTATTGTTGACAGGATGGTGACCCTATGTCTTCTCTATAGAAGTAGTTATTTATTGTTGACAGGATGATGACCCTATGTCTTCTCTATAGAAGTAGCTATTTATTGTTGACAAGATGGTGACCCTATGTCTTCTCTGTAGAAGTAGTTATTTATTGTTGACAGGATGGTGACCCTATGTCTTCTCTATAGAAGTAGCTATTTATTGTTGACAGGATGGTGACCCTATGTCTTCTCTATAGAAGTAGTTATTTATTGTTGACAGGATGGTGACCCTATGTCTTCTCTATAGAAGTAGCTATTTATTGTTGACAGGATGGTGACTCTATGTCTTCTCTATAGAAGTAGTTATTTATTGTTGACAGGATGGTGACCCTATGCCTTCTCTATAGAAGTAGCTATTTATTGTTGACAGGATGGTGACTCTATGTCTTCTCTATAGAAGTAGTTATTTATTGTTGACAGGATGGTGACCCTATGTCTTCTCTATAGAAGTAGCTATTTATTGTTGACAGGATGGTGACCCTATGTCTTCTCTATAGAAGTAGTTATTTATTGTTGACAGGATGGTGACTCTATGTCTTCTCTATAGAAGTAGTTATTTATTGTTGACAGGATGGTGACTCTGTCTTCTCTATAGAAGTAGTTATTTATTGTTGACAAGATGGTGACTCTATGTCTTCTCTATAGAAGTAGTTATTTATTGTTGACAGGATGGTGACTCTATGTCTTCTCTATAGAAGTAGTTATTTATTGTTGACAGGATGGTGACCCTATGTCTTCTCTATAGAAGTAGCTATTTATTGTTGACAGGATGGTGACTCTGTCTTCTCTATAGAAGTAGTTATTTATTGTTGACAGGATGGTGACCCTATGTCTTCTCTATAGAAGTAGCTATTTATTGTTGACAGGATGGTGACCCTATGTCTTCTCTATAGAAGTAGCTATTTATTGTTGACAGGATGGTGACCCTATGTCTTCTCTATAGAAGTAGTTATTTATTGTTGACAGGATGGTGACTCTATGTCTTCTCTATAGAAGTAGTTATTTATTGTTGACAGGATGGTGACCCTATGTCTTCTCTATAGAAGTAGTTATTTATTGTTGACAGGATGGTGACCCTATGTCTTCTCTATAGAAGTAGCTATTTATTGTTGACAGGATGGTGACTCTATGTCTTCTCTATAGAAGTAGATATTTATTGTTGACAGGATGGTGACCTATGTCTTCTCTATAGAAGTAGATTTATTGTTGACAGGATGGTGACCCTATGTCTATTTATTTATTGTTGACAGGATGGTGACTCTGTCTTCTCTATAGAAGTAGTTATTTATTGTTGACAGGATGGTGACCCTATGTCTTCTCTATAGAAGTAGTTATTTATTGTTGACAGGATGGTGACTCTATGTCTTCTCTATAGAAGTAGATATTTATTGTTGACAGGATGGTGACTCTATGTCTTCTCTATAGAAGTAGTTATTTATTGTTGACAGGATGGTGACTCTATGTCTTCTCTATAGAAGTAGATATTTATTGTTGACAGGATGGTGACTCTATGTCTTCTCTATAGAAGTAGTTATTTATTGTTGACAGGATGGTGACCCTATGTCTTCTCAATAGAAGTAGATATTTATTGTTGACAGGATGGTGACCCTATGTCTTCTCTATAGAAGTAGTTATTTATTGTTGACAGGATGGTGACCCTATGTCTTCTCTATAGAAGTAGTTATTTATTGTTGACAGGATGGTGACCCTATGTCTTCTCTATAGAAGTAGTTATTTATTGTTGACAGGATGGTGACCCTATGTCTTCTCTATAGAAGTAGTTATTTATTGTTGACAGGATGGTGAGCCTATGTCTTCTCTATAGAAGTAGTTATTTATTGTTGACAGGATGGTGACCCTATGTCTTCTCTATAGAAGTAGTTATTTATTGTTGACAGGATGGTGACTCTATGTCTTCTCTATAGAAGTAGTTATTTATTGTTGACAGGATGGTGACCCTATGTCTTCTCTATAGAAGTAGCTATTTATTGTTGACAGGATGGTGACCCTATGTCTTCTCTATAGAAGTAGTTATTTATTGTTGACAGGATGGTGACCCTATGTCTTCTCTATAGAAGTAGCTATTTATTGTTGACAGGATGGTGACCCTATGTCTTCTCTATAGAAGTAGTTATTTATTGTTGACAGGATGATGACCCTATGTCTTCTCTATAGAAGTAGCTATTTATTGTTGACAGGATGGTGACCCTATGTCTTCTCTATAGAAGTAGTTATTTATTGTTGACAGGATGGTGACTCTATGTCTTCTCTGTAGAAGTAGCTATTTATTGTTGACAGGATGGTGAGCCTATGTCTTCTCTGTAGAAGTAGTTATTTATTGTTGACAGGATGATGACCCTATGTCTTCTCTATAGAAGTAGCTATTTATTGTTGACAGGATGGTGACCCTATGTCTTCTCTATAGAAGTAGTTATTTATTGTTGACAGGATGGTGACCCTATGTCTTCTCTATAGAAGTAGATATTTATTGTTGACAGGATGGTGACCCTATGTCTTCTCTGTAGAAGTAGTTATTTATTGTTGACAGGATGGTGACCCTATGTCTTCTCTATAGAAGTAGATATTTATTGTTGACAGGATGGTGACCCTATGTCTTCTCTATAGAAGTAGTTATTTATTGTTGACAGGATGGTGACCCTATGTCTTCTCTATAGAAGTAGCTATTTATTGTTGACAGGATGGTGACCCTATGTCTTCTCTATAGAAGTAGTTATTTATTGTTGACAGGATGGTGACCCTATGTCTTCTCTATAGAAGTAGCTATTTATTGTTGACAGGATGGTGACCCTATGCCTTCTCTATAGAAGTAGCTATTTATTGTTGACAGGATGATGACCCTATGTCTTCTCTGTAGAAGTAGTTATTTATTGTTGACAGGATGGTGACAAATCAGGTTTTATTAACTAAAACACTTGTTTATAGAATAGGAAATGAAAAATAAGTGATTACTTAGTGTGATATACATTTCTCATCATAGGTGTTGTTGACTGTTGACTATTTCCAACACATGAATCACTTATCATTATTAAGATATAAACAAAAGGATGATACCTGTTATTGTTTTGATACAGAACTGATTAATGCTTTATTAGTTCAGTCTTGGCAGTTAAGACATATTTGATACTAAAGGAAACACCATCAGTATCTGGCCTTATGAAACTGTATGCAATATACACTGTGTCAAGGATTTTTATGAAAAAAAACATGGATAAACAAAAATATATGATGATACAGTATTTAATGTGTCATGGAAAGAGACATTATTTGTTTTCGATTTTGTTAATTTTGTCTTGTTGTTTGTTTGTAAACAGGTAATGATCAAGGCCAGTCATGAGTAATGAGGCATTAGCTGGATCATTTGACAAGTCCAGACAGGCGTCAGGGGCCAGTAATCCAGCCAAACTGACTAGTGTTAGTATAGCAGACACACAAACATGGGAAAAGGAAAAAAAATATGTGGTGAGTTTCACAGGAGTTGTCTCCCTTCTTGTACTAAATTGTTATATTTTCTTTAAGTAGGTGGTCACATGTTTTAGATAAATGTAGAATAATAGAATTTAGTTTATCTTCCTAAACATGGCTTAACTTTATTCAACAGATATTGTTGATTAAAAAGTTGTTGGAATCCTAGACTTGGAGGATAATACTAATCAAATGGTCATGTAAACATCTTTTTATATGATAATCTGACCCCTTTTATGATTAAGAATGTAGAATTTCAATTGTTTCCAAAGAAATTGAGATCAGAGATATTATCTGGCCGAACACTTTGTTGACTGAGGTGCTTATTTAGGACAAAACACTTGTACTGTTTACCTGTCTACAATATACCTACACAAGGTAAGGTAGAGACTGTCATCAAACTTGACCAGGTATGCATTATTCTACTTATATAAAAGTTCAAGGTCACTGAAAACACCAGCCTTCGTAGACAGTATTATTTAATCCAGTCATGACTTCTATAACGGAGTTTGTATGTAGGAGGTCATGGCCAGGTCTGATTATTGACCACACTGGACTGGTTTAAATCAGCTGATCATTGGATGTACACAATAGGTGAGAGGTGTAAGGTGTTACACTGGGATTCTCGAGGTAGTGATATCACAGATAAAGAACTTCAATACTTAGGATGTCTTTACCACAGTTCTGCGTACATACTGACACAGGATTTAAAACGTGTCTCTGTATTACTTGATTACTTTGGTTACCTCCCCTTGTTTTAGCATGGAGATGGAGGAGAACATTAAGAAGTTGAAAATTACAGTGTTGCCACAACTTTCTCAACAATCTAAATCTACCAAAAGAAATGAATGGGATAATTTTAAGCGATCACCAACCGCTTTTTGGAATGTGATGAAGCAATTGTTTTCTCTCCAGGTGTACAAAGTTCTAGTTCGCAATGGAGACAAATCTTGGTTCCTGTTTCGACGTTACAATGAATTCTATGGACTGCATGAAAAAGTGAGTATATATATATATCATACAAAAAGTATGGAGAGTGGGGAAGTTATCATACAAAAAGTATGGAGAGTGAGGAAGTTACCATACAAAAAGTATGGAGAGTGGGGAAGTTACCATACAAACAGTATGGAGAGTGGGGAATTTATCATACAAAAAGTATGGAGAGTGGGGAAGTTATCATACAAAAAGTATGGAGAGTGAGGAAGTTACCATACAAAAAGTATGGAGAGTGAGGAAGTTGCCATACAAAAAGTATGGAGAGTGCTGAAGTTACCATACAAAAAGTATGGAGAGTTGGGAGGTTATCATACAAAAAGTATGGAGAGTGCAGAAGTTATCATACAAAAAGTATGTAGAGTGGGGAAGTTATCATACGAAAAGTATGGAGAGTGGGGAGGTAATCATACAACATGTAGGAAGAGTGGGGAAGTTACCATACAAAAAGTATGGAGAGTGGGCAATTACCATACAAAAGTTGCCTCTGTACTGTAACACTTTAACTTGTCTGTGTAAAGTTACCTTTGTAATATAACACTTTAACTTGTCTGTGTAAAGTCATTTTTGTACTATAACACTTTAACTTCTCTCAGTTAAGTCACCTTTGTACTATAACCCTTTCACTTGTCTGTGTAAAGTTACCTTTGCGTACTAAAACCCTGTAAAAAATTAAAATGATAAAAAATAATGCTGTGTGCTAGTTGTCAGAATAGCAGTTGAAAGGTAAATGACATATGTAGGTTGAAGCACCTCTTGAGTGTGTAGTAGATTGTGATCTGTCACCTCAGGGTATAGCATTGGGCAGTGCTGACTTATTATATTGTGCATTGTGTGAAGGATGGACATGGCTAGGACTAAAATAGCCAGGTGCCACACCTTCTGATTGTATGTTTGAGATATGAAATGGATGAATTTCTGAATGGATTAAAGTGAATTAAGCGGTTTATGGGAGGTAAGTTGAACTGGCCTGCTGATTAGCCCCTATTAAGCTTCAGCTGATTTAGGAAGAGAAGCCAATATTCTAATTTTCTGATACAGTTTTATTATGTTGATATTTGTGTTCTGCTGTGATGAGAGTTATTGATACAAGCTGTTTGTTGTACTTGATGGTGCCAGATGTTATATATAGGTACATCTACTGTAGGGGGTATTATAATAGACTTGTATACATCTGTATACTGATATATCACTGATATCACAGCAGTAACTTCAAACAGCAAGGACATGCTCTTAACATCAACAATCACAATTTGATTGCTATATGTACCATAGTTCTAACTTTTATTTCATGGTATTTACTTAAATTTTGAGAGCCGTACAGATATCTATACGAAATATTTTGTTAACTTCTACCTGGTGTTTGGAAATAATTTTGTCTCATTGATGTCATGTAACTCAGAATAAATCAGGGAAACATAATGATGTAATTAAGTCTGTCCAACAAACTCATTGTAAATGGCCATTTGGATATGAATGATCTCAGCTGACTGACTGATAATAATGTGTCTAATGAAATAATTGTTCAGATGAAAAGTCAATCTCAGGTTACGCTTTCCTAGCTGTACTTGTCAGTGGTGACTGAAGGTCCAATCTCAGGATACACTTTCCTAGCTGTACTTGTCAGTGGTGACTGAAGGACCAATCTCAGGATACACTTTCCTAGCTGTACTTGTCAGTGGTGACTGAAGGTCCAATCTCAGGATACACTTTCCTAGCTGTACTTGTCAGTGGTGACTGAAGGTCCAATCTCAGGTTACGCTTTCCTAGCTGTACTTGTCAGTGGTGACTGAAGGTCCAATCTCAGTCTGTTTGATAGGTATCTACTGAATGAAGTAAGAATATTTTCCCAACCCAAACATCAGAAGAATGTGTTAGTTTTCATACTATATGTAGTTTTATTGCAGGCATTCAGGTCTTTGCCTCTGGCACATAGATAACAGTATTAGCAACCATACTTGGCCAAAAATAACATTAATTGCCATAGATCTGAGAATTTCTAGACTTTTTATATGTTAGAACTGATGATGGAGCTTCAGTTTTGTTCCTCATATAATCCTCTACAAAAGTCCTACCATTTTATTGTTTAGTGATGGTGTTAGTACATTGTGGTTCCTCAAGACTTTCCTGTGTTGTAGAACACTGTTGAAAAGGTCAGTGCTTAATAATTCAGGAAAATTGATCAAATAGAAATAAAAAAATATAATTTAGTTTAGGTCAATTACCTGGAATTATGTGATAATATACTTGTAGGCGATAGGTTAAATTCTTTCAATGATAAATATCTAAATATCTGCTGTTAATAACCAGGAAATGTTTGTGATGATAGACTTTGTAATTTTCACCTGTGGCCCAATCATACCTGACACATTCTTGTTACGTACCATTGACTGGTCATGTGATTAAGATCTGACCTTAGTTCCGTGTATAGAACGGTGTTGTAGTATGGTTTCACATATATCTAGTGTATGCTGACAGCTCTGATGAATGGTATTCATTGGGTATATTTCAAAAACAAGTTATGCTGTTTCAAAAATTTTTCCAAGGTATTTTTCATGTAAAGGTAAGTTTGTATCTTAATCAACACAACTTCATGTGGAACTTAAATCCAGTTTAATGAATGTATAAATAAGTATGAAATAAATGCAAGCATCTTCTACTCCTTGTGTACCCTTAAACATAAATGTGTATTATATATCGATTATCTGTATTTGTTTGAACGCTAGGAGCATGTATTGATATTTAGATTAGTACATAACTGGAATCAGTTTCTGACCCCGAGAATTCAAATATAATCGTTCAAGATGTGTCTTATCACTGACACAAGTGCTTTAGATGCCAAGGGACTCAGGGCATTATCTGTAACGTTATATAAACACAGGTACATGATAAGGTTATTTACCATCCTGTGTATGTACAGATTTATTACAGGTATAAAAATAAAATAAGTGATTGACCCAGTTCTCATTTCAAATCTTATGTAAGATAATCATCAAAGGGTCCACACCATGTCTTGTTAGTGTGGAGTTTAGGGCTACTGTAAGAGTGTGGGTCCACACCATGTCTTGTTAGTGTGGAGTTTAGGGCTACTGTAAGAGTGTGGGTCCACACCATGTCTTGTTAGTGTAGAGTTTAGGGCTACTGTAAGAGAGAGAACAATGGGTCCACACCATGTCTTGTTAGTGTGGAGTTTAGGGCTACTGTAAGAGTGTGGGTCCACACCATGTCTTGTTAGTGTAGAGTTTAGGGCTACTGTAAGAGTGTGGGTCCACACCATGTCTTGTTAGTGTAGAGTTTAGGGCTACTGTAAGAGTGTGGGACCACACCATGTCTTGTTAGTGTAGAGTTTAGGGCTACTGTAAGAGTGTGGGTCCACACCATGTCTTGTTAGTGTGGAGTTTAGGGCTACTGTAAGAGTGTGTCTTGTTAGTGTAGAGTTTAGGGCTACTGTAAGAGTGTGGGTCCACACCATGTCTTGTGTAAGTCTTGTCTTAGTGTAGAGTTTAGGGCTACTGTAAGAGTGTGGGTCCACACCATGTCTTGTTAGTGTAGAGTTTAGGGCTACTGTAAGAGAGAGAACAATGGGTCCACACCATGTCTTGTTAGTGTAGAGTTTAGGGCTACTGTAAGAGAGAGAACAATGGGTCCACACCATGTCTTGTTAGTGTAGAGTTTAGGGCTACTGTAAGAGTGTGGGTCCACACCATGTCTTGTTAGTGTAGAGTTTAGGGCTACTGTAAGAGTGTGGGTCCACACCATGTCTTGTTAGTGTAGAGTTTAGGGCTACTGTAAGAGTGTGGGTCCACACCATGTCTTGTTAGTGTAGAGTTTAGGGCTACTGTAAGAGTGTGGGTCCACACCATGTCTTGTTAGTGTAGAGTTTAGGGCTACTGTAAGAGAGAGAACAATGGGTCCACACCATGTCTTGTTAGTGTAGAGTTTAGGGCTACTGTAAGAGTGTGGGTCCACACCATGTCTTGTTAGTGTAGAGTTTAGGGCTACTGTAAGAGTGTGGGTCCACACCATGTCTTGTTAGTGTAGAGTTTAGGGCTACTGTAAGAGTGTGGGTCCACACCATGTCTTGTTAGTGTAGAGTTTAGGGCTACTGTAAGAGAGAGAACAATGGGTCCACACCATGTCTTGTTAGTGTGGAGTTTAGGGCTACTGTAAGAGTGTGGGTCCACACCATGTCTTGTTAGTGTAGAGTTTAGGGCTACTGTAAGAGAGAGAACAATGGGTCCACACCATGTCTTGTTAGTGTAGAGTTTAGGGCTACTGTAAGAGAGAGAACAATGGGTCCACACCATGTCTTGTTAGTGTAGAGTTTAGGGCTACTGTAAGAGAGAGAACAATGGGTCCACACCATGTCTTGTTAGTGTAGAGTTTAGGGCTACTGTAAGAGTGTGGGTCCACACCATGTCTTGTTAGTGTAGAGTTTAGGGCTACTGTAAGAGTGTGGGTCCACACCATGTCTTGTTAGTGTAGAGTTTAGGGCTACTGTAAGAGTGTGGGTCCACACCATGTCTTGTTAGTGTAGAGTTTAGGGCTACTGTAAGAGTGTGGGTCCACACCATGTCTTGTTAGTGTGGAGTTTAGGGCTACTGTAAGAGTGTGGGTCCACACCATGTCTTGTTAGTGTAGAGTTTAGGGCTACTGTAAGAGTGTGGGTCCACACCATGTCTTGTTAGTGTAGAGTTTAGGGCTACTGTAAGAGTGTGGGTCCACACCATGTCTTGTTAGTGTAGAGTTTAGGGCTACTGTAAGAGTGTGGGTCCACACCATGTCTTGTTAGTGTAGAGTTTAGGGCTACTGTAAGAGTGTGGGTCCACACCATGTCTTGTTAGTGTAGAGTTTAGGGCTACTGTAAGAGTGTGGGTCCACACCATGTCTTGTTAGTGTGGAGTTTAGGGCTACTGTAAGAGTGTGGGTCCACACCATGTCTTGTTAGTGTAGAGTTTAGGGCTACTGTAAGAGAGTGGGTCCACACCATGTCTTGTTAGTGTAGAGTTTAGGGCTACTGTAAGAGAGTGGGTCCACACCATGTCTTGTTAGTGTAGAGTTTAGGGCTACTGTAAGAGAGAGAACAATGGGTCCACACCATGTCTTGTTAGTGTAGAGTTTAGGGCTACTGTAAGAGACACCATGTCTTGTTAGTGTAGAGTTTAGGGCTACTGTAAGAGTGTGGGTCCACACCATGTCTTGTTAGTGTAGAGTTTAGGGCTACTGTAAGAGTGTGGGTCCACACCATGTCTTGTTAGTGTAGAGTTTAGGGCTACTGTAAGAGTGTGGGTCCACACCATGTCTTGTTAGTGTGGAGTTTAGGGCTACTGTAAGAGTGTGGGTCCACACAATGTCTTGTTAGTGTAGAGTTTAGGGCTACTGTAAGAGTGTGGGTCCACACCATGTCTTGTTAGTGTAGAGTTTAGGGCTACTGTAAGTGTGTGGGTCCTCTCCATGTCTTGTTAGTGTAGAGTTTAGGGCTACTGTAAGAGTGTGGGTCCACACCATGTCTTGTTAGTGTAGAGTTTAGGGCTACTGTAAGAGTGTGGGTCCACACCATGTCTTGTTAGTGTAGAGTTTAGGGCTACTGTAAGAGAGAGTGGGTCCACACCATGTCTTGTTAGTGTAGAGTTTAGGGCTACTGTAAGAGTGTGGGTCCACACCATGTCTTGTTAGTGTGGAGTTTAGGGCTACTGTAAGAGTGTGGGTCCACACCATGTCTTGTTAGTGTAGAGTTTAGGGCTACTGTAAGAGTGTGGGTCCACACCATGTCTTGTTAGTGTAGAGTTTAGGGCTACTGTAAGAGTGTGGGTCCACACCATGTCTTGTTAGTGTAGAGTTTAGGGCTACTGTAAGAGAGAGAACAATGGGTCCACACCATGTCTTGTTAGTGTAGAGTTTAGGGCTACTGTAAGAGTGTGGGTCCACACCATGTCTTGTTAGTGTAGAGTTTAGGGCTACTGTAAGAGAGAGTGGGTCCACACCATGTCTTGTTAGTGTAGAGTTTAGGGCTACTGTAAGAGAGAGAACAATGGGTCCACACCATGTCTTGTTAGTGTAGAGTTTAGGGCTACTGTAAGAGAGAGAACAATGGGTCCACACCATGTCTTGTTAGTGTAGAGTTTAGGGCTACTGTAAGAGAGAGAACAATGGGTCCACACCATGTCTTGTTAGTGTGGAGTTTAGGGCTACTGTAAGAGTGTGGGTCCACACCATGTCTTGTTAGTGTGAGTTTAGGGCTACTGTAAGAGTGTGGGTCCACACCATGTCTTGTTAGTGTAGAGTTTAGGGCTACTGTAAGAGTGTGGGTCCACACCATGTCTTGTTAGTGTGGAGTTTAGGGCTACTGTAAGAGTGTGGGTCCACACCATGTCTTGTTAGTGTGGAGTTTAGGGCTACTGTAAGAGAGAGAACAACGGGTCCACACCATGTCTTGTTAGTGTGGAGTTTAGGGCTACTGTAAGAGTGTGGGTCCACACCATGTCTTGTGTAGAGTTTAGGGCTACTGTAAGAGAGAGAACAATCCCTCCACACCATGTCTTGTTAGTGTAAGTTTCTACTGTAAGAGAGAGAACAATGGGTCCACACTGTCTTGTTACTGTCCCTCTCCCTCATACAGTGTCCACACCATACCTCTAACTGTCCCTCTCCCTCATACAGTACCCCCTACCTCTAACTGTCCCCCTCCCTCGTACATTCCCCCTACCTCTAACTGTCCCTCTCCCTTCTGTCCCCTACCTCTACAGCCCCCTCCCTCGTACATTCCCCCTACCTCTAACTGTCCCTCTCCCTCATACATTCCCCCTACCTCTAACTGTCCACCTCCCTTATACAGTCCCCCCTACCTCTAACTGTCTCCCTCCCTCGTACATTCCCCCTACCTCTAACTGTCCCTCTCCCTGGTACAGTCCCCCTACCTCTAACTGTCCCCTCCCTCATACATTCCCCCTACCTCTAATTGTCCCTCTCTCTCGTACATTCCCCCTACCTCTAACTGTCCCTCTCCCTCATACATTCCCCCCTACCTCTAACTGTCCCTCTCCCTCATACAGTCCCCCCTACCTCTAACTGTCCCTCTCCCTCGTACATTTCCCCTACCTCTAACTGTCCCTCTCCCTCGTACATTCCCCCTACCTCTAACTGTCCCTCTCCCTCGTACATTCCCCCTACCTCTAACTGTCCCTCTCCCTTGTACATTCCCCCTACCTCTAACTGTCCCTCTCCCTCGTACATTCCCCCTACCTCTAACTGTCCCTCTCCCTCGTACATTCCCCCTACCTCTAACTGTCCCTCTCCCTCATACATTCCCCCTACCTCTAACTGTCCCTCTCCCTCATACATTCCCCCTACCTCTAACTGTTCCCCTCCGTTATACAGTCCCCCCTACCTCTAACTGTCCCTCTCCCTCATACAGTACCCCCTACCTCTAACTGTCTCCCTCTAACTGTTCCTTCCCTGTAACTGCACCCAGTTCTGGAATAGTCCCTTTCCCTTGAACAGTTCGCCATCCTCTAACAGTCCCCTCTTCCTCAAACAGTCCCCTCTCCTTCTAACAAACCTCTTTCTACTATCTGTCCCATCTTCCTCCAAAAGTCCTCTATTTCTTGAACAATCTACCTCCTTCTTACAAGCACATCTCTCTTCTAGTCCCCCTCCCTCAAACAGACCCCTTAACACTTTCTGTCCCCTCTCCCTCACACAGTCCCCTCACCCTTGTATAGTCCTTCTCCCTTTTACAGCTCCCTCCTTCTTCTAGTCCCCCTCCATCAAAGCCGTCCCTCTCCCTCAAATAGTCCTTTCTCATGCAGACCTCTCTCCCTTGAACAGTCTCTCCTCCTTCTTACATTCCCCTCTCCCATCAACATTTCTCTCCTGTGTTTTAGATGATAGGTAGAGCTGTGTGTACTGTAGACAAGACCAAAAATCTCCCCCTTTAACAATTCCCTTTGGAACAGTTCCCATCTCTTCAACAGTCCCCTCTAACAGTCCCCCCCTTACAGTCCCCCTTACTCTAACAGTCCTATCCTTCCAACAGACTCCTCTCCCTCCAATAGACCCCTACATCTTTAATGGTCCCATTCCTTCTTACATTCCCCCTCCCCAACAGTCCCTTTCCTTGTCACAGTCCCCTGCCCTCAAACAGTCCCCACCCTCAAACAGTCCCCCACCCTCAAAAAGTCCCCCGCCCTCAAACAGTTCCCTGCCCTCAAACAGTCCCCCGCCCTCAAACAATCTTCTCTTGCTCTAACAGTCCCCTTCCCCCTAACAGCCCGTTCTCCCTACAAAAATCCCCTTCCCTGTAACCGTCTCCCCTCCCTTTCACAGTTCCCTTCCTGTGTGTTGTAAGCTGATAGGTAGTAGTGAAGCTGTAGATAAGGCTAACGTCACCTGCCTAATAAAGACGAGCTTTAAATAAACTTCTTGTTACTTTCAACACAGATAAAGAAGTTGTATCCAGAGTCAAATCTCAGACTGCCTGGAAAGAAAATATTTGGGAACTTGGATCCAGATTTTATCCAGCAGAGACGGGAAGGACTAGATGAGTTCATACAGAAGCTGGTTTGTCATCCAAAGATTTCTCAAAAGTAAGTATAATGGTATATGTTTCCTGGTCAGTGGTTCTGAATGTCCTCTCTACTTTGTAGAGGCAATCATTTATCAATGTGTTTCCCTTTACTACCAACACATCTCCAGACTCCCCGTTAGTTTTCTCTACTAACAACACATCTCCAGACTCCTCAGTAGTTCTCTCTACTAACAACACATCTCCAGACTCCCCGTTAGTTTTCTCTACTAACAACACATCTCCAGACTCCCCAGTAGTTCTCTCTACTAACAACACATCTCCAGACTCCCCAGTAGTTCTCTCTACTAACAACACATCTCCAGACTCCCGAGTAGTTCTCTCTACTAACAACACATCTCCAGACCCACCAGTAGTTCTCTCTACTAACAACACATCTCCAGACTCCTCAGTAGTTCTCTCTACTAACAACACATCTCCAGACCCACCAGTAGTTCTCTCTACTAACAACACATCTCCAGACCCACCAGTAGTTCTCTTTACTAACAACACATCTCCAGACTCCCCGTTAGTTTTCTCTACTAACAACACATCTCCAGACTCCCGAGTAGTTCTCTCTACTAACAACACATCTCCAGACCCACCAGTAGTTCTCTTTACTAACAACACATCTCCAGACTCCCCGTTAGTTTTCTCTACTAACAACACATCTCCAGACTCCTCAGTAGTTCTCTCTACTAACAACACATCTCCAGACCCACCAGTAGTTCTCTCTACTAACAACACATCTCCAGACCCACCAGTAGTTCTCTTTACTAACAACACATCTCCAGACTCCCCGTTAGTTTTCTCTACTAACAACACATCTCCAGACTCCCGAGTAGTTCTCTCTACTAACAACACATCTCCAGACTCCCGAGTAGTTCTAACTCATGAATTATGCATTTTAAACATTGAAGCTGTCGTCATAATTTGATTTTATTCATGTTCAGAAGTAAATAATATATACAAGATAATCAGCTCCTCAACAGTTCAGTGCTATATTTACCCAGTAATGTAAATTCAACTGGGACAAAGGTCAACCATCACGTGCCTCAGTACAAAACAGTGAGACTATCAGTGGCCTCCTTAGTTCATTAAATCAATGTCTGGTACCAGCAAGTCAGCGCTCTAGTGACTTTACAACAACATACAAAATATACAAATAGCTATATAACTATCATGTTATCAGTGTAATAACATCACATAACTATCATGTTATCAGTGTTATAACATCACATAACTATCATGTTATCAGTGTTATAACATCACATAACTATCATGTTATCAGTGTAATAACATCACATAACTATCATGTTATCAGTGTTATAACATCACATAACTATCATGTTATCAGTGTTATAACATCACATAACTATCATGTTATCAGTGTTATAACATCACATAACTATCATGTTATCAGTGTTATAACATCACATCACTATCATGTTATCAGTGTAATAACATCACATAACTATCATGTTATCAGTGTAATAACATCACAAAACTATCATGTTATCAGTGTTATAACATCACATCACTATCATGTTATCAGTGTTATAACATCACATAACTATCATGTTATCAGTGTTATAACATCACATAACTATCATGTTATCAGTGTTATAACATCACATCACTATCATGTTATCAGTGTTATAACATCACATAACTATCATGTTATCAGTGTTATAACATCACATAACTATCATGTTATCAGTGTTATAATACTCATTGTATAATTATCAGAGGGGCTTATTTAAGGAAGCTGGAAAGTCAGGACAACTTATAAAAGAACTATGGGAAGATTGCCAAGGTCACACAGCTCAAATTATTTAGAAATATATTGTACTTGATAAAGGTTGCATTACTTTGTTATATCAATAAAGGAAATATACCATGCATTAAGTTAAACACTACTTTGAATTTAATTAAGATATCATATTGTTGACTTTTTAAATTTTTTAAATGATTGATTAATGTTATTGAGCAGACAAGCTAAGAAATAGGATATCCAAGACAGGACACCTGTAAGAAATTTCTTACAGTGTAAATTAGGTCAACTTCGGTCTCTGAAATATTGAAATAAAACTGAGCTTTATCATTTTTTCTCTTGGACATGTCTGATTGTAGAATTATAAAATAGACGGAGAAAAGCTGACATAAAGATTCTGTACAAAAACTTTGGGCAGGTTGACTGAGTGTAGGTTGATTGGTAGGAAATGGTTATTTATTTTAATGATAGATTGTTCACTGATACAGCAAGGCACAGAAAGTAACACATCTAACAGTAAAATCACCTTAAGGCTTCAATTTACAATAATCCTGTTTATTGTCACGTCTTATTAAGGTGTTGGCTTAAGTTCTCCCACACTCACCATAGTCAGGCCAGGGGCCACTTATTCTTTATATCAGAGGTCTGGCCTGGACACGAACAGTGACGTAGGTAAATTGGTACATGTGTATGTATATATATAGATCTACACTGGCAAAGTGAAATTTACAGATGAAGAAGAAATTCTACCACTATGTTTACTCCTAGTCAGCATGTAAACTCCACAAACGGGATGACCATACCTAACAGTAAGTTCACATAATTCATAACTGGTATTATGGTAAACATCAGAACTGGTATTATGGTAAACATCAGAACTGGTATTATGGTAAACATCAGAACTGGTATAATGGTAAACATCAGAATTGGTATTATGTTCTTCATCAGAACTGGTATTATGGTAAACATCAGAACTGGTATTATGGTAAACATCAGAACTGGTATTATGTTACACATCAGAACTGGTATTTATGGTAAACATCAGAACTGGTATTATGGTAAACATCAGAACTGGTATTATGTTACACATCAGAATTGGTATTTATGGTAAACATCAGAACTGGTATTATGGTAAACATCAGAACTGGTATTATGGTAAACATCAGAACTGGTATTATGGTAAACATCAGAACTGGTATTATGGTAAACATCAGAACTGGTATTATGTTACACATCAGAACTGGTATTATGGTAAACATCAGAACTGGTATTATGTTACTGGTATTATGTTACACATCAGAATTGGTATTTATGGTAAACATCAGAACTGGTATTATGGTAAACATCAGAACTGGTATTATGTTACACATCAGAACTGGTATTTATGGTAAACATCAGAACTGGTATTATGGTAAACATCAGAACTGGTATTATGTTACACATCAGAATTGGTATTTATGGTAAACATCAGAACTGGTATTATGGTAAACATCAGAACTGGTATTATGGTAAACATCAGAACTGGTATTATGGTAAACATCAGAACTGGTATTATGGTAAACATCAGAACTGGTATTATGGTAAACATCAGAACTGGTATTATGGTAAACATCAGAACTGGTATTATGGTAAACATCAGAACTGGTATTATGTTACACATCAGAACTGGTATTATGTTACACATCAGAACTGGTATTTATGGTAAACATCAGAACTGGTATTATGGTAAACATCAGAACTGGTATTATAGTAAACATCAGAACTGGTATTTATGGTAAACATCAGAACTGGTATTATGGTAAACATCAGAACTGGTATTATGGTAAACATCAGAACTGGTATTATGGTAAACATCAGAACTGGTATTATGGTACACATCAGAACTGGTATTATGTTACACATCAGAACTGGTATTATGGTAAACATCAGAACTGGTATTATAGTAAACATCAGAACTGGTATTATGTTACACATCAGAACTGGTATTATGTTACACATCAGAACTGGTATTATAGTAAACATCAGAACTGGTATTATAGTAAACATCAGAACTGGTATTATGGTAAACATCAGAACTGGTATTATGGTATATTTCTGAGCTGATATTCTACGATAAATCTAAGCAGGAATTATGCAATAGATTGGTATTTATTATCATTACGACACTCTAGAAAGTTTGATTGTTTCATCGAAATCCTGCCACATATTGACTAGGTACTAAATAGTTGTATGTTGTTTTCACCTGAAGTTAATACATGTATCTATCACGAGTTGTTAGAATCAATATCACAATAGCCACTTGTAACCTTTTGAAAATTAAGCACATTCCATAATATATGTTAATTATTCTGGAGTGGAAAGAATTCTTTATTAGCTGATCCCCATCAAAGTCAGTTTTTACGTTTTAATTAGAAATGAATCCCACTCTGTAGTGCACTGCAATTAAAACAGTTAAAACTTGTTGACTCATCGTTTAACATATGTTAACCAAGGCACCAGGAAACTGTGTAAGCCCCCCAGGCTAGAATGTCAGACTGTCGAGGCCTGTCACAACAGTTATATTAATGTTCCCTGATCTATGGAATTGATACAGTGAATGAGTCTGTGATCTGCTGACAGAACTCTCCACATTCCGATTTACAATCACCAAACACTAAATGAGCTAATTATAGGAAACTGAAATAGCAGTTTTACTGAAGAGAAAAATATATTTGGGTGGGCTTATTACAAGGCATGGACTTATGACTGGATAAAGATAGAACATAGACCTAGGGAGTTACTAATGAAAAGAAATTTTCAGTGAAAGATTAGTATGAAAAGTAAATTTATTACTTACTTTAGGAGATATTGTAATGGAAGGTGTGAAGGATACACAAAAGATGTGTTGAGGTCATAGGGGCATCTGAATCAGTGTCACATTTAAAACATTGTGAAATTGTGTAATGAAAACTGAAATATATCTGCACCATTCCCAGGTGATATGAAGTGTACAGAATCATGATCATTGAAAGGTTAAAAAAAGTGCAAAGGGATATATAGATACACACAGTAAAATAACACCAGAAGGTAACCATGTTGTTCACTGCTTACTTCCCATGTTATTTGTAACGCTATACTTGACAGGGTTATTTTCATTAGAGTCAGGATTATTTAAAAAAATTACAGCATATTCTTTTTCAATGTAACCATGGTTACACAGACAGTTGTGACACTACATCTACCATGGTTACAGTGATGTGACACTACAT